GCTCCCCCCGGGCGGGGCCCGCGGCCATCCGCCTCCGTGGGGCGGCGCCGGGCGGGGCAGAGGGTCCTGGGAAGGCCCTTCCCGGGCCTCGGGACAGTTAAAGACCGACTCAGGATGAAGCCCCAGTGGTCCAGACCTTTGGGGGTCGGCGTTGTGGAACAGTCAGGACGTCGGGGGTCTGGGGTTGGGGGGCGGTGGAGGGCACCAGGTCGGAAGAGGAAAAGGTAATCCCGCCACCCCTGCCTCGTTTTCGATTTTTGTTTCGGCCTCCTGGGAGGCCGTCGCCTCGAAAGTCTTGACATAACGCAGCCCGGGAGAGGTCTGGGGAGCAGCGGTGGCGGTACGGTCTGGTTTTCCCAAACAGGGGCGGTAGCGGTAGCTCAGGGGAGGTGAGAGGTAGCTCAGGGGAGCAGCGGTAGCGGTAGCGGTAGCGGGAGCTCGGGGGGAAGTGAGAGGGGGCGGGCCTTTTCAGAAGGCTCGGAAGTCCTCTGGCCTTCTGAGAAATGTTCTGGGCCTCTTTTGAAGACGCAGGGAGCCTTTCAGAAGGCCAGGAGGGGCCTCTGAGAAGCTACGCCGCCTTCTGAGAAGGCCTTCTTTTTCTCACTTCCCCTCACGCTCGCCGCCGAACATTGGACTGGCATGCCCATCTCGTCCGGCCGCGTCGTCGCTGCAGGACGAGCTTCGCCGCCCACCCTTCCCAACCCTCCAGGGCCTCGCCAGGAGGCGCGGGCGCAGTGGAGAGGCGCAGGGTGGTGGCTTACATATTTTGACCTTTCCTGAGCCTCGCTTGAGCTCAAAGACCACCTGTGAGGCGTTGCAGAAAGGGCCTCGCCTTCGAGGATGGAAGGAGTTGCATCTCTTCATCGGCGGATGGCGGCGGAAGGTCGGCGGAAGCCGGCGGAAGACAAGCGAGACTGCCTCCGCCGGCGGAAGCCGGCGGAAGTAACACAAAGCGTCGGCGGCTCAAAGGATCCCTTTGCCTCCGACAGGGACGGGGCTCGCAAGTCCCCCCATGGCTGCGACCCGCGCGCGCGCCCTGCCAGTTCTGCCATGCGCGACGCCTGTGGCACAGCGGGGCGCTGAGAGTCGCTACGAAGCCAGCGAGGTGAGCGTTCGGAGGCTGCCCGACCTCCGAGGACGGCGCGCAGGCGTCCCACGACGACAAGCGCAGGCTGGAATCAGGGCTCATGGGTGGCAGACGGGCTTGGACACGTGCGGCGAGGCTCGCGATGGTGGCAAACTGCAGTTGGTTTCGAGGCCCGTTGATGACGCGCCCCATGGTTGCCTACTATTATAAGCATGATGTGACGTCCTTCCCGACGGTCACCGACGTTTCCTCGAGCTCGCCGCGACCACCCAGACCCAGACCACGAAGGCCGAGACCAACCCACATCATGAAGGTATGGAGCTACAACACAGAATCACTGATATGCATCGGCCGCCTGGGATAATTGCTAAAACACGCGAGTGAGCAGCAGATAGTTACAGTATGCTTTCAAAGTACTCTCATGGGAGCCACCATGTCTTGGACCAGCACGGGCTTCCGCGTTTACCCAACCCCGAAGACATCTTCACGTGCAAGGACGGCTGCTTGACGGTGCTAAATCTACACTTTTTCGGCCCGCTGGAGGTCCGATGCGTCCGTGAGTGGCTACCAGGCAGGCTCATAGGAATACGCGTCCGGCGAACAGGAGCTTGTGAGTGAGCCCCCTACATTTTGAACGGTTACGCGCCGAAATACAGCGAGCACTCATGTGGCGGCAGCTGACAAAGACAGTGCAAGCTGAACGCAGACAAGCACAGGCCCTTTTTGTTGGCAGATTTGCGACGACATTATACGGCGAGTGCCCCAGAGATCATCATTGATTTGGTGCCTAGATGCGAATGGTACTGTGGCGCCCGAGCTTCCGAACGTTGGCAAAGCGGGCATTGACAGACAACCGAGAACCACAAACTTGAACGGCAGCTACTTCCTTTCCCTTCTTCCGAGTAGCGGAATGACAGCGTTGATCACTCATGGCAGTCGAAATTGAGAGCGGGGTTTTGGTTGCACGCTGACGGCACGACATGGTACCATAGTGACTACATATGCACCAGACTGCGAGGAGGTTGCGGACACGGAGCTCGAGTTTTACATTCTCTGCCCGTCAGCATGGGAGGATTCCGCGACCACCGCCCCATTGAGGCCACGATACCGGTAACATTTCGATGTCAGCGGCCCCGGCAAGACCCACCTGTTAGATGGAACCGCGACCTTATGCTCCAAGATCTCAAAGTTGTTCAGCATTCTGACGATATACAAGCACGGGTGCAAGATTTTCGCAGACGGCTCCGCCATGAACTACAAACACGTGTTGGTGAAGGACACTGACAGCAGGAGTGTGGCACCGAGCAACGCTATACCTCGACATCCAGCTATCACAACTCAGTGGAGGGAGCAGTGGTTGTCGCAGCCTGCCCGCTCTATGTTGATTACTCAAAGTTGACCCCACACACAAGAAACTCACTGACCCGACCTTGGATTTGATCAAACGCAAGCAGCACTTTCAGATGATGCTACCCAACATCGTCGACCACAGCTCGTGGCTATACAAATCTATATTATCGCAGTTTCGACTGGCGGCAAAGCGGGCAAAGCAGGCAGTGAAATCGGTGACGCCACACCACATTGCGGCCCTGGTTGCCGATGCGGAGCGGGCCGATGCAGCGCATGATATCCGACGCTGCTACTTGAAGTCCCGCATGCCCACGCTGACCATCCGCACCCCAGCCACGCGCTACCCGCGCTTCGACGATGGCGAGGGCCAACTGGTCCGCACCGATGCCCTCTGCGCCATCTTTGAGGCCACTGAGCTGCCCATGCACGAGGATGGAGGCCCCCGGGGCGCCCCCGAGGAGCCCGACGTGGAACTCGTGGGCCAGTACGACGTGGATGATATCATTACGGCCCTCAGCAGGCCCCCCAAATTCAAGAGCGCTCCCGCGCTGAAGTGGACGGGCCCCTCGATCTCCAATAGGCCTCGACAGGGTCCCGAAGGTGCTGTGGGTGAACTCTGGGAGCGAGGAGGTGGTCTTGCACGGGGGCCCTGTTCTTGGAGTCTTTCAGGCCGCCCGAGCTTTCCGCCGCGCCCCACAAAGGTTTAAACATAGGGGGGCGATTTCACTGCGAAAACCGCAAGGGGATGGGAGGAATGCCAAGGATCACGACAGGACGATCAATCTCATTGGCCACGTCGGCGAACATTTCGCCAACGTGGTGATCATGCCTGAGCTGCGTGCAAAGTCAAGCCGGCTCTCTGCCACTCAGTGCGGGGCCCTTCAGGGTCGATCGACAGAGGCGCCGTCGCCCTCGTCGACGAGATCGACCGTCGCTTTCGGGGCAACCCCTCTCGCACCAAGACCAACTTTCGTAACTTGATTGCAGCGTTGATCGACCTTGAGAAGGCCTTCGACCTCCTGACTCGAAGCCAAATTTGGGAGGCCCTGGACAAGCTGGCGCTCTCCCGTGGCACCCGTCTGGCTACAGAAGAGCTCTGCAATGGGACCTGCTAAATCCTCCGAGTTGCCCGTGCTAACAGACCCTGTAGGCAACTACTTCTTCGCGAAAGTACACGGCAAGGCAGTGTAGAGGGGCCAGGGCTTTTTATCGCTATCTACGACCTCATCACAAAGGACATAGGCTCCAAGGCGTTGGAGGAGGTTTTCCAAGGCGCCCAGGTGCAGTGCGATCCCCAGTTCCAGGTCTTCAGGAATTCGGTCGGTTTCATGGCTACCGAGTTGAGGTCGTTAGATGCGCCCCAAGTCATGTTCGTAGATGATTTAATCGCGCTGACGGTGGTCGACGACATAGGACCAACGCTAATGCCAGCGGCTTGACCATGAATGCCCCGAACACCGAGCTGATGGCGGGCGTTGCGGGGAGGGGGTGCCGGAGGGTAAGAAAGACAATCAGCACTTAGCAGACTGGCGTTAGCTTGACCCACGCCGACGGCCAGGCTCGCGCGACCCACCTCGCGCCGACTGCGCAGTACCTTGGTGGTTTGCTTTCGGCGACGGGCTCGTGCTCAGCTGAGGTATAGGCCCGCCTGACTTCCGCCAACCAAGCCCACGGCCGGCAGTCCCAGAATGTGCGGAGGGGGAACCTCAGCGCGCGTTTGAAGATACGCCTGTGGAATTCGCTAGTACGGCCCATCGCCCTTCATGAACAAGTAGTCCTCTTCCGCACGAAGACGGATCCGAAGAAACTCGAGCGCTGGCAAACCAAGAAATTTCGACATATTCTTCGTTCCCCCGCTCACCTCCACCATGTCTCTACTGCAAGTGTTCGACGTCGTGCCAAAGTCTATAGCAGGAGTTCTACTTTATTTTATCGTAGACTGCAGTGGTGGCGACGTGCGATTGCCCCTGGGCCCCAGCCGGAACCCTTCAAGCATGGCCCCGCCGAGGCTGCGCGGGCTGTAGTCTTCGGCAGACTATCGTTCGAGGACCCCCACAGTCGAAATCACAATTGTCGATTGGGTCAGCTTCTCGCAGATCTTCGCGCGTTGTCGGCCTGTCTTCCTGCGGAGAGCCAGTTGCGCGCTCCGAATGACTCGCCGAGTGTTTCGCGAGATTGGCCGGCGTGTCTGGACGTGCTCTCGCGCGCAGAGCTCGAGGCCGCCCTCTCACGCGAAGCTGAGAGCGACCAACTCCGCGAATCTGGAGACATGGATGAAACGCATCGCCTTGTCTGCCCAGACTGTGGAAAAATATGCCATGGCCAGAAAGGGTTGGAGAATCACATGTTTGCGGTCCATGGTGTTGCGGCTAATCGTTTGGATATCCCCGAAGACGACTTGAGAGATGAGAGATGTCCCTTCTGCAGTGCTATGTTTTTTTTCGCGAGGACGTCCTCCGTCGCCATGTCCAACACCGTTGCCCTCAGCGCATTGGCTCTCGGCGCGCTCCAGGGTCACCTGCGGTGCCACCGCCGTCGCCGCCCCCCTCGGCGCCCCCTCCAGATGTTCGAGCCTGCGGCGGACATCATCAAGAAGTGGGACGCGGCCAAGGCCGAGGTCGGCGAGGGCGGATCCAGCACCGACGAAACGGAACCGACTGGCATCTCGAAGAAGGACAAGTTCATGACGAAGTTGCTGCTCCAGCAGGAGGACAGCTCCAGGGGCTCGGCGCGACGAGAACGCGGCGGTGAAGCTGAAGACGGGCTCCCAGACTCAGCTAGTGCTCGCGGCGGGCATCCAGAACTACCAGAAGGTCGGGAAGGAGGCGCGCGCCGCGGTCGAGCCCATCGAGCATCGCGGCCACCCACACGGGAAGAAGCCCGACGCGTACCTCCGCATGTTGTTGTTCCGCGGCGATCGCGGGCAGGTTCGAGGGAGTTCGCGCAGCAGTGGCCCAGGGGCCGCAACCAGCCGAGTCGAAGGAGGCGCTGCGCCTGGTGGTCGAATCCGGCAAGAGTTCGAACAACAAGGAAGCGAAGCTCAAAGCGACCCGCTGCTTCGACTATCAGACGAAGACAGACGTCGACGGCAAGACGGTGGAAGAAACCAAGTGGGTATTCGCTGATATGTCACATCCTCCACTCATGCAGGCTATGTGCTGCATGAGGGAGAACGGCGGCCTGCAGTCAGTGATTGCCGCGCTCGAGGACGACTCCGCCCCGAGGAGCAAGGCCGCGAAGGAGCTCGAGAGGACGGTGTCCAAGGGCGGCGGCAGTGGCGGCGGCGGAAAGAAGGACCCCAAGCGGTTCATGAAGAAGAAGAAGCGAGCGCCTCTGCTGAGGTCTCCAGAGAGCCCCGTGGGTTGGATCGGTTGTTCAGGTCTGGACCTTTTTGGGCCCCTGGAGCGGTGGTGGGCCCACGTAATCTTGGGCCTCGCGTGAGAATGAGGAAGCTCGGTGACTTTTGGGTTGAGGGCCTGCCGCGTGACTAGAGGGTCCTGCAGCGGCCGCTCTCGAAGTGCCATCCCGTTAGGGGTGGGGGTGCTCGGGGGCGGGACCTTGTGGGCGGTGGGCCCACGCTTCCTGCCTTCCCTGCCTCTGCGCTGCCTTCAGGCCCCAGCAAATTCGTGCTGCGCCGAGGTTTCGGTAGTTTTTGATTGGGCCCGTCGCAGGACATCCAGAGTGACACTTAGAGGGTGTAGCGTTGGTAAAACAACAAGGAAATAACACATGCGCCCCAAAGAGATAACAACAAGTCCCCCGGCCTTCTGAGAAATTTTCTAGGCCTTCCCCGAAGACCAAACAAACATTCTCAGAAGGCGCAAGGGTTTCTGAGAAGTCCCGCCGCCTTCTGGGGATGCCTTCTCCTTGTCATTTCCCCCCCTCGCTCGCCGACAGTGGACGCCCCCGACCACGCAGGAGGTGTGGAGGAGTGCATGCCCGGCCCCCCCCCCGCCTGCAAAAGGCACGCGCTGGCAGCGACGCCCGATCTGCGGCTGCCCCCTGCCCGGGCGGCGGCCGCCGGCTCGAGGGCTTCGGCCGCGCGGGCCGCGCTCGCGGAACGGCGCTCTCGCCGCGGGCAGCTTCGCGAGGCCGCCAAGGGTCTCCTCCTCCTCCTCCCCCTCCTCCTCCTCCTCGTCCTTTTCCTCCTCCTCCTCCTCCTCCTCCTCCTCCTCCTCCTCCTCCTCCTCCTCTCTCCTCTCTCCTCCTCTCCTCCTCCTCCTCTCCTCCTCCTCCTCCTCCTCCTCCTCCCTCTCCCCCTCCCCCTCCCCCTCCCCCTCCTCCTCCTGAAATCATCACGACGGAGGGTTTTTCGCTAGTTTTGGCCTGTTTCGGGGTCGTCTAGAAGCGACTCGGAAGGAGAAGCCGGTCTCGGGGAAGGGGTCGAAGCCATTTGGGGGGCGACGGCAGCAACAAGTCGTGACTTCTTCGGCCCCCCGGGGGCCGCCCCGAGGCCGCCGAGGGCCGCGCCGAGGCCACCCCAGGGGGGCCGCCCCTGGGGCAGCGGGGGGGCCGCCCTCGGAGCTGCGAGGGGGACGGCCCCGTGGTCCGCGGGAGTGCGCGCCGGAGGCAGCTCGGAGGGGCGGCCCCCTCGTGGCCACCGGGGCCGGCTGCATCGGTATAGCAGCTCATCGGGGGCGGCGGCAGCGGCGAGCAGCCCAGGGGGGAGCAACACATTCAGCCACGCGCAGAGGGGGGTGGGGGGAGGGGGGGGGCTTCTTAGAAGCACCCCTGCTTCTTCGAAGGCGCGGCCCCTCTATAGATGTAAGGCCGGCGCCTTCTAAGAAGCAGCCTGCTTCTAAGGAGCCCCCCCCCCCTCCCCCCACCCCCTTGTGCGCGCCGCCAACACATGCATAGTTGAGACGTTGAAGTAAAATGACCGCTTGGAGCTCAGGAAGGGCTCGGTTTTTCGGGCCGCTCCCTAGAGTTGTGCCATGGGGCCTGTGTGTGGCCCAGGCCCGCCGTGGCCAGAAAAGCCCATTCGTTCCTGATCGTGCGTTCCTTTTGGTAGCACGATGTCGGTATCCAAGGGAGCAGGGGTCCATGTCTTCGGCGAGTCTCCCCAGCGGATGCGTGCACTGCCGCCCCTGGGTTACTCGCCCCTGGGATCGACCGATTCGTTTGGCAATCAGCTCCTGGAAGCCTTATGCGGTCGGGCACTTCTGGGTAACGTGGCACTCCGCCGGTTTTTTGGCCCGCCACGCTTTGGCACGACACGCTGTCCGTTCTCCAGTCCCAGAGCGCCAGTGCTAACCTTCCGAGGAGGAAACGGTATGACAGGATCTCTTCGCCACCGTTGGATTCGCCTCGAAATTCTGGCCAGCACGCACCCTGGGAGAGGTCCGGGGAGCAGCGGTATCGGTAATGGAGGATGACAGTTAGTAAATGACCGGGGGTCGTGTTCACGCGGCGGCGCCCGGGATGACGATTAGAAAAAACCGGCCGCGGGCTGGAAAACTATTTTTTAATCGTTCTCTTGCAGTCAGAAAATTGTGCAGAAATAGCTGAAAACTATGTTTTAATCGTTCTCTCTAATCTTTTTGGTTAATCGTCATCCCGCATTACCGTTTGACTTCCCCGAGCGTCCCGAGCTTTTCCGAGCCTTCACTCCCAAGGAGCGGAAAGAGACACGCTACCCGCTCGCTCAGGGCATAGCGCGTCGCTGGGGCCACCGTGGCGGCACGCGGTCCACAAGTTCAAGGCCGTATGCCCTCGGAGTTCCGTCTGTGGAGTGCACTCGCGTGCACAAGCGTCCAGTGGCCAACGCGAGAGCACAGTTTTGGCGTCGACGAGCTTCGATTTGGCGTCGGTTGTCGCCGGGTGGCGCCGGTTGGCGAACTCAGACATCCGGCATCCCGAACAATTCGAGACGGAGGTTTTTGATGGTTTTGGGATTCCTGGGGCCCTCGCCAGGCCCTCGGGCCGTCCAAAAGGACGTATGATAAAAACCCGGCCCTGGGGAATGGGTCGAGACTTCAAGGGACCCCGCATTGGAAAAATCCGGACGTCACGCTTTTCTGGGGACCCTTCGCTGGAGTGACCTGTGGTGCGGGCCCACTGGGGTTCCCCCAGCGGCCGAATGCGACGCGACAGCAGCGGCTTGCGCGCCTGGCCGCAAGCCGCGCAGCCAAAAGGGGGCTCCTGCCCAGGGTCGCTGCTGTGTGCAGCTGACTGGAGGCGGCTGTGGGGAGCCGCGGCGTGGCGTGGAAGGCGCCAGAGCCACAGCAGCCCTGAATACGAGCCTCATCCGCACGCGCCCCGGGCAGGACCGACCACGAGAGTCGGTCCCTGCGTCTTCTCGCTCCTCCTCCAGCCCCGCTCGCTCGGGCTCCTGTCCCATCTCGGAGCCAGTGGGTCATCAGCCTCCTTCCCACTTCCTCTCTGCTCTTCCCCCCGGCGTTCGGTCGCACTCAGAGACGAGTAAAAATCCCCACCCTAGGACCTTCTCTAGGCATTCGCTTTGCCCACGACAGGGCTGCCCTCCGTTCGACCATGCGCAGCTGTCTCGTTCAGAGGCGCGATCAAAAGTACCTCTTGACGCTTGTCGTGAACGTCCGAGTCATCCTAGGCGTCGCCATCGCCTTCAGCCACGTCGCCGCCGCCAGCGCAGTGGTCTCCGCCTGTAGTTCGGAACTGCACCTCCTCCGAGTTCCTTTCCTGCCCTTGCGCGTCATTGGGAGGAGCTCATTCCTAGCGCGACAATCAAGCGCTTGACAATCAAGCGGCGACGCACGACAATCAAGCGCTTGAGCTGAACACCGCCTCACCTCCCCCCAGCTGGTCACTGTCTCTGTTGATTCCAGCCTGTGTTGAGTTGGGTCCTCGTTATGAATTTGCGGCGCTCCGCGTCCTCCTCCTCCTCCCCTCCTCCTCCTCCTCCTCCTCCTCTTCCTCCTCCTCTTCCTCCTCCTTCCTCCTTCTCCCCTCCTTCGCCCCTTTCTCCCGCCTCTAGCCTCCGTGTGCCCATGCCGGCCCACCCCGCAAGCATCTCGTGGCCCCCAGGGCGAGCTCCACAGATGGCCCCAGTGGGCAAGGTCGCACGTGGCTTCCCGCCCGTCCCGGCACAGTCGCCCTCTGGGGAGCTCCACCAAAGGCCCCGGTGGGCAAGGCCGCATGCGCTCCCCCCGCCCGCTTCGGCGCATGCCTCACTGGCTTCGTGGCCCCAGTGGGAGCTCCGCCGACGGCCCCGGTATGCAAGGCCACATGCAGTCCTCTGCCAGTTCCGGGACACCCCTCACACGGTTCGTGGCCTCATAGGCGGCCCACCGACGGCCCCAGTTGGCAAGGCCCCATGCGGTCCTCGCCGCCCATTCCAGCACACCACACACGTTTCGTGGCCCGGCAGTGGACCGAATGCATCAGCGGCAGGATCTCGCATGCGGTCCCCCCGCCCATTTCGGCATACCACTCACTCGAATTTCGTGGCGCACCGTCTAGGAGGAGAGGGCTATATCTTGCACTACTCGCATCTGCTTCATGTCGGGTCCTTCGCCACGCTCATTTTCTGTGGTTCCTGAGTCTTCCTGCGAAGATGAGGATCCCCGTCCGTCCAGTGCCCACCACTCTTGGTCGAGGATGGTGTCCTTACTACAGCTGGCACCCTTCCAGGTTCGGAGTTTCCCGTTAATCTGCACGTCCGGTCCCAGGACCCATGCGCGTTTTAAAGGTATTGTTCTTCCGAGTCTAAGCGCAATGGCAGTTTCGAGAATGTTGAGGCTTCCCGATCCTTGAGTTGCTGAGTGATTCCAGAAGTATGCCTCATCTTGCTCATTCTCCTCCTGTCTCCTCTCCACCCCCTCCCTTCATCTCCCTTCCTCCTCCGTCCTCCTTCCTTTCCCTTCCTTTTCGTTGTCCTCCTGTTCCTCGTCATCCTTTAATGTACATCCTCCCACCTGTCTTCTGCTCCACCCTCCTCCGTACCTTCTTCATCCTTCCTCTTCCGCCTTCCTTCATCCATCTTCTGTCAGGTCCTCCTCCCTCCCACCCCCTCTGCTCCGTCTTCCCATGACAGGATCCGCATCAAGTGCCCACTGCGTGTCAAGAGCAGACCGACCCCTAAAAAGGGGTGTTATTAAAGACGAGGGTCGGTACGGAGAGAAGGCTTGGTACAGTTACGCTGTCTACCACGCGAACAAGCAAGAGCGGGCGTTTCGAATAGGATCATTCATCAGGTCTCTCTCTCTCTCTCACTCTGCCTCTCTCCGTGGCCGCCTGCCATCAGATTCAAGAACCCCCGAGATGATGGGGAACTTCAGTCCTCTCCGCCCCGCCCCCTCGGCCCCCAGCTCCGGTGGCTTCGAGGAGCTGCCAGCGGGGCGGCAGCGCCCGCCACCTCTTTTGGGGGGCGCGGGGCAGGGCGTCCGAGGGCCACCCCTCTGCCCACCTCTGCCCGCTCCCGCCGCGCTCTCTCTCCCCGCGGTCCTCTGTGGGCGGCGGGGCCCTGGCTGGAAGAGACGCCGCCGCGCGTCACTCCCAGCCCTCCCCCCTCCTCCCCTCCTCCCCTCTCCTCCTCCTCCTCCTCCTCCTCCTCCTCCTCCTCCTCCTCCTCCTCCTCCTCCTCCTCCTCCTCCTCCTCCTCCTCCTCCTCCCTCCCCCTCCTCCCTCGCCCCCCTTCCTGCCTCGTCCCCCTCCTCCCTCGCCGCCTTCCTGCCTCGTCCCCTTTGCCCGGCGGTCCTGCCGTGGCGGGCTTCCCGGTGTGAAGAGAATCGCCGCGCCCATTTCGAAGCACTCTCACGCGCCTCGCAGTTCCAAAGGGAGCTCCACCGAAGCCCCCAAAGGGGGGCGGGGGTGGTCGCATGCGGCCCTCCACCCAAGATTGGCACACCCCTCACACGCTTCGTTTCCCCATAGGGGGCTCCACCGAAGGCCCCTATTGGCACAGCTCGCATGCGTCCCCATGCCCATGCTGGTACACCCTGCAAGCGTTTCGTGGCCCTATTCTGAATTCTACCGAGGGCCCCAGTGGCAGCGCCCGCGTGTGTCCCCAGGCCCACGTCTCGTGTCCCCACAAAGAGCTCTACTGCAAGCGATATTCGCCAGTGCGGTATTCAGCATTCCGAATGGTCGGGTCCCTCGCAAGGATATTTCCCAACCGTCCTGTGGTATTGGGTCCGCGCTTTGAAAGACAGCGCCCCTTCGCCACTGCTTCCTCCTCCTCCCCCCCCCTCCCCTCCCTCTTCCGTGCCGCGCTGGAGCCTTCGGCTTGCCAGCGGGGCTCCTGCGCAGGCCGAGCCCGCCCAGCCCACCCGACTGCTCCGGCGGCTTCTCCCGCCTCGGGGGGCAGGCCGCTCGAGGGCGGGGGGCCGCGGGGCTCGCCCGGCGTCCGGGCAGGCCCTGCACACGCGCCCAATTAGAGGAGGAGGAGGACGACGAGGAGGAGGAGGAGGAGGAGGAGGAGGAGGAGGAGGGGGAGGCCCTGGAGGGGGCCTTTCACAGCATGGGAGCATGGGCCATCCTCGTCCTCGTGTCCTCTTTCTTCTCTGCCCTCCGCGTGCCGATCTCGGTGTCATGCGGGAGGGGGGGGCAGGCACGTGCCGTCCCCCAGCCGAGTGCGCACGCTGTCCCCCAGCCAAGTCCCGCACACGTTTCGCGGAGGCAGCTCCAGCGAAGGAGCGAGGACCCAGGGGGAGGGGGCGGGCCACATGCGGACGCCAAGCTGGTTTCGGCACACCCATGTCGTGGCCCTATTGGGAGCGCCACCGAAGCACCAGGGGGGGGGGGGGCATGCGCCCCCCAGCCCATGTCGGTACACCCCGAGCACGGTTCGTGGCCCCATGGGGAGCTCCTCCGAAGCCCCAGAGGGGTGGGTGGGAACACGCGGTCCCACAGCCCATGTCGGCACAACCCCGACACGCTTCGCGGCCCTATAGGGGACTCCTTCCGCTTCAGCCGCACGGAAGGGGGGGGGAGGAGGGGGGACAAATGGGGGCACACGGTTCCCTAGCCCATTTCGGCACCATCCCCCACACGTTTCGTGGCCCAATAGCCTGGTCCCCCTCCTTCGTCCCACTTGCCTTACATCACTCACACTTTTCACGGCTGGGGCCTTCGCCAGGATATTTGTTTCGGAAGGGTGGTGGGAGTGAGGGAGCTCAGCTCACGCGAGCCCATTCCAGGTCGCGCACGGTTCAGCCGGGACGGGGCGAGCGGATGCCGTTGCCTCCGTACGTTTCCCCGCTCGGCGTCCATGTTGCTGGTGGTTCCCACGGGCACGCACGAGCGAGGGGAGCACCACGTCCACGGGCCGGGAATGCACGGGGCTCGCAAGCTTGGCAGCACACGTGAGGCGTTCCAGAAATAACAGGAGGACGAGTTGAGACAACGGTAGCTGGCCTTCGGGGGAGGCCCTCGTCGCCACGGCTGGGCGCAGCTCGGAAAGCTGGTGCGTTTGGACCCTGGGAGGACTCCAGGGGCCGATTTTAAATTGCCGTTGTCTCAACTCGCCCTGCTTCGAAGAAAGGGGTTTGCCTTCCCAGACCCCCGACGTCATGTTTTTTTCATTGCGTCGACCCCCCGAGGTCTCGACCCATTCCCCGGGACCAGTCTTGCGTCCTGAGTCGTTTTTGAAGGTCCCGAGGCCCGGTAAGGGCCCCCGGAGGCCGAGAATAAAGCGGAAGCACATGCCAAGAAACACACTGCTTGCCTCCAGGGAGCCCTGGATTTCTTGGGTTTCGATGGTTTTGCGATGGAAATCGTGACGCTCCCACACCAAAACATCCATGGACGTCCTGGGGCCTCAGGTTGGGTTTCTTGTGGAAGGCTTCCTGTGGTCGAGCTCCTGCTGCAGCGAAAACCTCCCGTCGTGATTTATTCGTGACTCGAGAGGGCTTGGAGTCATCGAGAATAAAAGAACCCCTCACCCGAATAACACGGTGAAGACGTGGCCTCACTGAGGTCCCCGTCTTTGCATCAGGGATAATCGATCTGGGCGGTTGGGCTCGATGCGTCTGCAGAAGAGAGCCCCTACTAATATTTATTCCCAATGCTTGCGGCCCTCCTGACTTGGGCCCCCTACCGAAGGGTTAGGGGCCCCGTCTGGCCTCATCACAGCGCACCCGCGGAGCCCGCATCCCTCTCTCGGCGGAGGCGGGCCGCAGCGGGGTGCGCGCCGCTCCGTCCGCGGCAGGCGGTGGGGGGCGGCGGGAGCGAGACACGCCAGCTCCCCTCCCCCCCCCGGGGCTCGTCTCGACTCCTCCGATCCGATCTGATTCGATTTCGATGGCTTCCGGTGTCGACTCGGTGCGGCCATGGATTCCCATTGGGCTCCGGTTTCTCTCAATGGAGGCCTAGTGGCGGGACGATTTCCATGGATTCGACTGCTCCCGACGCGCTTGCCGATTTCCGCCGATCCGATTCGTTTCCATCGCCCATCTGACTTATCGGTTCGATTCTGGGCTTTCCTGCCCCCCTCCCCCTTCATGATTTCGGAAGGTTTTTTGTAGGATTCCGGGTGGTGTCGGACGGTTTGGGAGACTCCCGACGTTCTTTTGAAGGTCCTGAGCGGCTTCGAAAAGTTTCGAGAGACTTCGGGCGGGCTCGGATGGTTCCGGAAGGGTTCAGAAGGTTTCATGCGGTTTCGGAAGGCTTCGAGATGTTTCGGAAGGTTCCGATAATTTGGCGGGTTCCTGAGTTTCCAGAACCCGCCACACGGCAGCAAAAAGGGCCGGATCCAGGCTGCGCAACAAGTCGCCTCCTTCCTCTCCTCCGCGGCCGTATGCACTAGCCTTCTGGGGCAAGTCTTTGATATGTAGAGTTCGTACTTTCCTAGCGTTGGTTTTGTATTTAGGTCGGATATACCCAGGATCCTGGTCGTGGGCAGCCGTTCAGTGATTGGGCCCCGAAGTCAACATTTTGACCGGAATCGCTAAACAAGGTCTGCCGAGGCTGGTGTCTCTTCGCGTGGCAGCAGATCTGGTTGGTGGAACGGGGCGGGGGGGCGTCCCCCAGCACACACCACTAAGCCAGGTTCTGCTAAACCCCGTCCTGCCCATGCCCGATCAGGGTCGCTTCACGGCGAGAAGGGCCACGCATGGCCACGCCGTGGGTAAAACTTCTTGGAGCAGATCGCGGTGCGCAGCACGAGCTCCACTCCTACCGTGTGCGGACCGTTTGCGTAGCGTGTCGCGCCGCTGGTTCTGGCCCACCGCGCTTCGGCGCGACACCCTGACCACGTCCCAGTCCCCACGTATCGATGTGCCGAGCTTTTCCCATGAGCCCGTCCCCCGAAGCGGGGTGACGCGTGCCGTCCGCCAGGCACAGCACATCGTAGATGCCGCGGCCGATGCGCGCCAAGGAAATGCAACCGAGCGCAGCAGCGTCATTCGAAGTCTGTCCCTGGGAACCTTGGGCGGCGACATTGAAACTAGCTTTTCCTGCGCTTTGGCCGCATTTGGACCGCATGCGGCCCTTCCTCCTGCTCCCCCCTCCCCCTCCTCGTTCCCCCCCGCCTCCCTTGTCAGGGGGCGAACCTGGTCCAAACCTGGCCCCGAGGGTGCCCCAACTCTGGGCCAGACCAGGCCCACCTCGCAGAGCGCCGGGGGCCACGAAGGCTCTCGTGGAACGGACACCACACGACCGCAGCAGCGCCGCCGCAGCCCCGCAAGACCGCGGCGAGACGCAAAGAGCCGCGCCCAGCGCCACGTGCGCCCTGCTCGTGCTGCGCCTGGACCAGAACCTCCCGTGGCCTGCCTACGAGGGCAGCGAGGCTCCCGCTCCAGCGAGCGGCCGCCCCCCGCCGCTGCCGCTGAGGAGAGGAAGGAACCACCGGCGCCCTCGAGATGGGGGAGGAGGAGGAGCAGGAGGAGGTGAAGGAGGAGGAGGAGGAGGAGGAGGAGGAGGAGGAGGAGGAGGAGGAGGGCGAGGAGGAGGAGGAGGAGGAGGAGGAGGAGGAGGAGGAGGAGCAGGAGGAGGAGGAGGAGGAGGAGGAGGAGGAGGAGGAGGAGTCTTGGGCGCCATCTTGGCCCTCTGAGAGGTCTCCTGGGCAATCTTGGGGGTCTCTTGGGCCGTTAGGGGCATCTCCATCTTGGTGGCCTTACGGGCGGTCTTGGGCCGCTTGAAAACCGAAAATGAAGCACACTCCAGAATCTTCCAGATACCTATGGCAAATCGCTGGTGTTTGCATCGTGGACCAGTCCTGGAGGGCCTCTCGGAGGCAGTTGGGCCGTCTTGAAGGCCTCTTGGGCCGTCTTGGGCGATCTTGACGCCATCCCGGGTGCCATGCCGGCCAGTCTTCAAGACACCTTCGGGCCATCTTGGCCCAAGATGCTCCAGATGGCCCGAAGACGTCCTGAAGACTGGCCGAGCCTGGCCCGACGATGGCCCCAGGAGAGCCCCAGGCTCTCGGGCTCTCCCGGGGCCACCGCGAGCCGCTGGGAGACCACTTTGGCCGTCCGGGGGGCCACCGTCGTCGTGGGGCCGCGGGGCCGCGCGGAGCGCGACGGCCGACGGCCTGGGAGGGTGCCGGGGCTCTCCCTGGGGCAGAGCGACGACGGGCACTCCGTTCTCCGCAGGGCCGGCGCGATCGCCCGAGGCCCCCCGCGGGAGCCTCTGGCAAGGACGGAGCAGCCATCACGTGTCGCAGAGAGCCTGAGGAGGAGGAGGAGGAGGAGGAGGAGGAGGAGGAGGAGGAGGAGGAGGAGGAGGGGAGCCTCTGACAAGGACGGAGCAGCTATCACGTGTCGCAGAGAGCCTGAGGAGGAGGAGGAGGAGGAGGAGGAGGAGGAGGAGGAGGAGGAGGGTCCGGAGGTCTTGGGCGAGGTCCTGCGCGGGATGTCTCGTGCGGTCTTGTGTGGGCGCTCGTGCCGGGCTCCGGGCGTCGGTTCGCGCTCTCGTGGTTCTTTCTCCTGCGCAGGTCGTCTTGTGCGCGTCGTGTGCGCAGCCACTCTTCGCTCGAGCACTGTTTCTGTGGCACGCCGTGGGCCCCGGTGGCAAGCCACGGGGGGCGGCGGTTCGAAGACGCCTACGGCGAATCACCGCCGCCCCCTGCCTTCTTGGAAGCGCCTATGTGGCCGAACGTTGAGGCCAGACCTGCCAAGCTATCGGCCCAGGTGTTCCCCGAATCGGTTTGGAAAGCCTTCAGGGAACACGTGGGCATCTTGAAGGTCATCTTGGCCGTCTGGAGGCCATTTTGACCCTTTCGGGCCTTCTTGGAGGACGTCTTGGAGGGCTCTTGGGCCGTCTTGGAGGCCATCTTGAGCGTCGTGGAGGCCTCTTGGGCCGTCTTGGGAGCCTCTTGGGGCCGTCTTGGGCCTCTTGGGCGATCTTTGGGGGCACTCGGGCCGTCGGGAGGCAGGAAAAAAGCAAATGCCACGATGCTTCAAAAACCAAAGGGAAGTCAATGATTTTGGCCTGTTCGGGCTTTCCTGGAGGCCTTCTTGGAGGCCTCTTGGGCCATCTTAGGGCCATCTTAGGGCCATCTTCGGCCGTCTTGGTGGGCTCCTGGCCCGTCTGACGCCGTCGGAAGCCGTTTGGGGGGCCGCTTTGGGCCGGCTTTGGGCCCTCTTGGAATGCTCCAGGGCCGTCTTGGAGGGTTTCTTGGGCGTCTTAAAGGCCTCCTGGGCCGTCTTGGGGGTCTCTTGGGGCCGTCTTGGGGGCCTTTTGGGCCGTTTTGGGGCCATCTTGGAGGCCTCTTGGGCGATCTTTGGGCGATCTTTGGGGGCTCTTGGGCCGAATCGGGCCGTCGGAAGGCCGAAACGAAGCAAATTTCAAAATCCTTGAAATACCGATGGACAATCACAGTTCTTGTGGCTTTTCTGGCCTTCCTGGAGGCCCTCTTGGAGGCCTCTTGGGCCGTCTTGGGCCAGCTTCGAGCCAACTTCGGCTATCTTGGTGGGCTCCTGGCCCGTCTGACGCCGTCGGAAGCCGTTGGGGGGGCCTTCTGGGCCGACTTGGGGCCCTCTTGGGGTGCTCCAGGGCCGTCTTAGAGGCCATCTTGGGCGTCTTGGAGGCCTCTTGGGTCGTATTTGTGCCCTCTTGGGGCCGTCTTGGGGGCCTCTTGGGCAGTCCTGAGGCCATCTTGCAGGCCTCTTAGGCGCTGTGGGGGCGATCTTGGGGGCCTCTGAGGCCGTCTTGGGTCGTCGGAAAGCCGAGAAGAAGCGAATGTCAAAATCCTTCAAAAACCTAAGGAAAATCAATGATGTTCGCCTTTTCGGGCCCTCCTGGAGGCCCTCTTGGAGGCCTCTTGGGCCTTCTTGGAGGCCTCTGGGGAGCCTCTTGGGCCGTCTTGGGCCGTCTTGGACTCTCTTGGGCCGTCTTCGATCATCTTGGGCGAACTTGAAGGCCATCTTGGACCATCTTGGAGGCCATCTTGGGCCAGCATGGCCATCTTGGAGGCCATCTTGAGCCGTCTTGGAGGATTTTGTGGGGACACTGAGGTGGTTTACGCGGCCTTCCGGGACCCCGGCGGAACGGGCCGAAGCCCCAGGGGAGTTTTTTTGGAAAAGAGCCAAAACCGACAGGATCTGGCACGCCAGGCACCCTTGCGATGAATCGACAGGGGGCGGCGGATCGAAGACGCCTACGGCGAATCACCGCCGCCCCCTGCCTTTTTGGAAGCGCCTATGTGGCCGAACGTTGAGGCCAGACCTGCCAAGCTATCGGCCCATGTGTTCCCCGAATCGGTTTGGAAAGCCTTCGGGGAACACGTGTGCATCTTGAATGTCATCTTGGCCGTCTGGAGCTCGTTTTGACTCTTTCGGGCCTTTTTGGAGGACGTCTTGGAGGGCTCTCGGGCCGTCTTGGAGGCCATCTTGAGCGTTTTGGAGCCTCTTGGGCCGTCTTGGGGGCCTCTTGGGGCTGTGTCTTGGGTCTCTTGGGCGATCTTTTGGGCTCTTTGGCCGTCTCGGGCCGTCGGGAGGCAGGAAAAAAGCAAATGCCACAATCCTTAAAAAAACCAAAGGGAAGTCAATGATTTTGGCCTGATCGGGCCTTCCTGGAGGCCCTCTTGGAGGCCTCTTGGGCCGTCTTGGGTCATCTTAGGGCCATCTTCGGCCGTCTTGGTGGGCTCCTGGCCCGTCTGACGCCGTCGGAAGCCGTTTGGGGGGCCGCTTTGGGCCGATTTGGGGCCCTCTTGGAATGCTCCAGGGCCGTCTTGGAGGCCATCTCGGGCGTCTTAAAGGCCTCCTGGGCCGTCTTGGGGGCCTTTTGGGGCCGTCTTGGGGCCATCTTGGAGGCCTCTTGGGCGATCTTTCGGCGATCTTTGGGGGCTCTTGGGCCGTCTCGGGCCGTCGGAAGGCCGAAAAGAAGCAAATGTGTCATCCTTCAAACACTTAAGGAAAGTCAATGTTTTGGGCCTCTTCTGGCCTTCCTGGAGGCCCTCTTGTGGGCCTCTTGGGCCGTCTTGGGCCAGCTTCGAGCCAACTTCGGCCATCTTGGTGGGTTCCTGGCACGTCTGACGCCGTCGGGAGCCGTGTTGGGGGCCTTTCTGGGCCGACTTGGGGCGCTCCTGGGGCGCTTCGGGGCCGTCTCAGGATCTGGCACGCCAGGCACCCCTGCGATGAATCGACAGGGGGCGGCGGATCTAGTAGTGGCCTTCGGCCCATTCCGCCGCCGCGCATCACCGCGCCGGGGTTGTAGGTCAGAGGCTTCTTTGATGTCGGCTGGGATTTCTTGAGAGGCCTCTCGGAAGCCTCTTGGATTCGGTTTTGGGACGTGTTGTGGGCTTTTCGGGGGTCTCTTGGGGCCTCTTGGGGCCTGATTTGGGCCTCTTGCAGGCCTCCTGCGGCTTATTAGTCGGAGCCCTCTTGGATTCCTGCTGGCGGTCTCGGGGGCCATCTTGGGGCGAAGGGGTTCGTGGCCCCCCTCCTGGGGCATCTCTTGGGCCCCTCTTGGGGCACTGTGGGGCCGTCTTGGGGGCCTCTTGGGCAATCTTTGGGCCCCCCTCGGGCCGCCTGAGGGCGTGCTGGGGGGCCTCGTCGGCCGTCTTGAGGCGATCTTAGGAGCCTCTTGGGCCGTCTTGGAGCGTCGAAAGCCCGAAAGGGTGAGAGCGCTGACGTCTTTCAACGACCTCGAGAAAATCAATACGTTTGACATATCGGGGCCCTTCTGTGGGGCCTATTGTGGCCCTCTCGGGGCGTCTTTGGGGCCTCTTGGGCCATATATGGGCCGTCTTTGGCGTCTTAGAGCGATCTTTGGCCGACTTGGGGCCACCATGGGCGTCCTGGAACCATCTTCGATTGTAACTTGGGACCTGGAAATGGCGCAGAAACATGGACAGCCGAATTGCGCCTCGCAGCCTGTTGGGCCCGATGGGGTCAGGGGATTTAGCGTCCCTGGTGGTAAGCGGCGTCTGCCTTGAATGTTTCACGAATTTTCGGGGAAGATTTCGCGTCGTCTGCCACCTGACGGACAAAAGGCGACCGAAGTGTCGCCTTGCAGTCTTCTGGAGGTGCCCCGAGCTCCCAGCAGCTGGTGTACTGAAGCGGGAGGAGCGAGACTGCGAGCGTAAACGGTGTGCCAGGCAACATATTGCCACACATCCTCGCGACCGGCTCCGCGATTATGGCATAGGGCAAGCGGGTGGGTCAGATCGAACAAATGACGTGCTTGAGACCCTGCCGCTTCCTCGCACACCATACTTCTGAGACACCCGACGGGTACTCCAGATTTCGTAATAAAGCGAGGGGGGTCTCATTTCGGGAGGGGGTCTCTTCCAGGCTATCTTGGAGGGCCTGGGGGGGTCTGGGGACGATGTTTTGGAGGGTTCTCCCACGGGGGAGGTCTGAAATGGCTTGTCTTGGAGGGTCCAGACCCCCTCCCTTTAATTACGAAATCTGGAGTATCATAGCCACAAAAAGAAACGAATGGTAGCACGACGGCTGACTGCACGATCCGGAACTTCTGCTTCGCGTGTCGCGCCGCCGGTTCCGGCCTGCCACGCTGCGCTGCGACACGCTGACCACGTCCCAGTCCCCAAGCATTAGCCAGATACTTCTTTGTTTGCACAGATACTTTTTTGTTTGCACATGCGCTGGGGAATGCTACGACGCAGTACCACGCCGACGGCGCTCTGAATAAAGAACCTTGCGTGGTCGTCTCCTCTGGCCCCTCCTTCGTGCACCCTCTCTCGTCTGTGCTGAACTTGCAGCTTGCCAACCTTACGCATGTGTGTGTAATCAATCGGAGGCGAAGTGGCCTGAAGGAGTCTGGGATTTTCTCGGGCCGATTTTGTGATCAAGGCGACCGGCAAAGGTCTCGTCACATGCGTGCATGCGTCGTGGGTCGAGCGACAGCAGATGGTCCCGTCAAGTTCTTCTTCGTTGGAACCGTGCAATAAGGAACGGCTCAAGGTCGTTGGTCCCCAGTCCATAGGCCGCCCAGTTCTTTTTCGTTGGAACCGTGCAATAAGTAACGGCTCGAGTTCGTTGGTCCCCAGTCCACAGGCCGCCCCATGTGATTCAAAAGCTGCACACGTGTGCTCCATCTCGCTGGCTGGCCTGTGGGGTGCCGATCTCGCTCCGTTTACACACGTGCCGGAAGACATGACCGGGCACGCTGCATAATCGTAGCGGTGCTGTGTGCAGGGCAACGTGCATCGTCGTCCCCTATCTGGCCCTCCCTCGTGCCCATTCTCTCGCCTGTGTTGACATGAAGGCGCATCGCGGCACGTGCTGGTCTATATTGCGATGCCAATCGTTTCAGGCGTTGGTGGAGCAGTTTGCAGGACACCTCGGCGGTTGGGCACAAGATCACGGGATATACGCTGTCTCAAATTTGAGGACATTAAGTTTACGGCGCCTTCGCTCTCTCATTACCTCTTTTCTCTTTTTGTCTCCCTCTCTTTTCACTGTGATGTTGCGCACCATCTTGTCCGCGAGTATCGATCCTCACTCGTTGTGCTCTTCAGGTGATGTCACTTGGCACTGCCACGTCTCCTGGCGTATGCCGAGCGCCCTGGTCTCCATACCTCTTACCGCCTCGAGTTTGAGACGACGTGCGCTTGCTTCCCCAACCAGGGCTGGAACTGAAGGGGCCCTGGCAGATCTGAACCGAGAAGGCGAGAATGTACGGCGCCGCTTTCGGTAGGTGGCCGGGTTCCCGGGTTCCCAGCTCCTTGGCATCGCTCGGACGTGTGCATTTTTCCTTCGGCGAGGACCATCGAGGAGCATCCTTGATCATTTGGCGAAAAAGCCACACACGAAACCGAGAAAAGCACAGGGAATGGACGTCCGAGCGATGGCGAGGCTCCAGCTTCCGAGCGGCCAGGTCCGCGGGTTCTTTGCTCCAGGTCCGGAGTTCCCAGCGTCATAAGGTTGTCGGGGTATGCGAGTGCCTGGTGTCGGCCAGCGTGCCCAGGTCCTGGTGGCCACCGTCCGGATGATAGAATGCGTTGGAACCGTGAGTAAATAGTACATATCAGATCGTAGAGAACACAGTTGAGAGAGTGAGCACATTGAGCATTTTGTCCCTACACACCGATGCATATATTCCTCTTCCTATATTTTTATAAGCCCGGGCGGGGGGAAAACCCGCCCCCCCCCCCCCCCCCTAAAACCGGACCCCCGGGATCTGCAGTTTTGGGACCTTCCAGACGGGCCTCGAAGCGGCCCCCTCGGCTTCGCAGGGCGTTTTGCCAGGCCTTCGCAGCACACCCAGGGCGATCAGGGGGGTCACCGGAGACGTCCCAGAGACCCCCAAGACAGCACAAGAGCGCTCCGAGAAGCCGTCATACCCCGAAAGATCGCTTCAAAACGTACCAAGAGGCCTCCAAGAGCACCCCCAAGAAGGCCCCAAGAGGGAAAAATCATTGATTCTATGTAGGTTTTTGGTGCATTTAGGGTTCTCCTTTTTTCGGCTTCCCGACGCTCCAAGACGGCGGTCTCCTAGGCGTCCGAAGCCGCCTGGGAGGCTCCAACATCGCCCCACAACCATCGGAAAGAGCTTCCCGGCCGTCCAAGAGAGCCCCAAAAAGGCACAACACGGGTCCAAAATGGCCCTCAGAGAGCACCATGGCGGCCCAAGATGGCCCCAAGACACCCTCCGAAGTATTCCAAATCGTGACTGAGGCGTTCAGGGAGACCGCGGTTAGAGGCAGGTTGGCCTTAGGAAGCGCCAGAGGCCCCCAGAACACACCCAGGAGGCCTCCAGAAGGCTTTAAGAAAGCCTGAGAACTTTGGTGAGGCCCCCAGAGGCTCTCCAAGGAGGAGCCTCCGCAAAAAGAGCTGAGGAGGATGGGGAGAATGCCCAGGGTATGGCAAGAATGAGACAAAATGAGCATGGAGGAAGGACAACGAACAACATTATCATAACGGCGATGCCAGAAAAAGCAGCAAGGAGTTATCGCTAAATTGTCGGCTTGACCTTCCTGCCATTTCCGCCTGCATACCAAACTCCAAGGACCAAGGTGCATGGCGCGAAGCGCCACTGCAGTCTTGTATGTATATATATATATGCATATGTATATAAATATATATGTATATATACATATCGGAGGTTGAGGGGTGAGATCACAGTGGAACGGAGACCCCAAACCGGGAAATCGTTTCGTTTCGTTCGTGTCGTGCGTGCGGGCGAGGCGAAGCTGCGTGGGCGCGCGAAAGGAATGAACCCGCCGTTGCTAGGGCGAAGTCAAGACAAATGATTCTCCCCCTCCCGCCCGTCCGGCGGTGGCCACCGCGGTGTCCCGCGGTGTCGCGTGGTGTCGCGTGGTGTCCGCCGCTGCTAGGGCGAAGTCAAGACAAATGGTTCTCCCTGGCCCGTCCGTCCGTCCGTCCGTCCGGCGGTGGCTCGCTGTGGCTCGCGGTTTCCCGCGGTGTCCCGTGGTTTCCCGTGGTGTCACGTGGTGTCCCGTTGAGTGAGATCGATAGTGAGATCGATAGTGAGATCGATAGTGAGATCGACAGTGAGATCGATACTGAGATCGATACTGAGATCGATGTGGTGCCCCGAGGTGTCCCGTGGTGTCCCGTGGTGTCTCAAAAGGTGAGATCGATAGTGAGATCGATAGTGAGATCGACAGGTGTCCCGTGGTGTCCCGTGGTGTCCCGTTGAGGGAGATCGATAGTGAGATCGATAGTGAGATCGATGTGGTGTCCCGAGGTGTCCCGTGGTGTCTTATGGTGTCCCGTTGAGTGAGATAGATAGTGAGATCGATAGTGAAACCCATAGTGAGATCGAGAGGTGTCCCGCGATGTCTCGTGGTGTCCTGTGGTGGCCCGTGGTGTCCCGTGGTGTCCCGTTGAGTGAGATCGATAGTGAGGTCGAAAAGTGTCCCATGGTGTCCCGTGGTGTCCCGTTGAGTGAGATCGATCGTGAGATCGATTGAGTCACATGTTGGCCCCCCCCTCTTCCCCCCATAACCTCCTTATCACCCGAAGGCTGGTCGTATATGTATGTATGCGTGTATGTTTATATACATATATCTATATCTATATATGTATATATATATATATATATATATATATATACAAGACTGCATTGGCGCTTCGCGCCATGCGCCTTGTTCCGGACGCTTCCCTGGCAAAGCAATGCATCATCGCTTTCTTCAGCAGGGAGGACCTCGAGGCCTGGACGGGCGACCCGCCCATTCTTCCGATATCCCGGGTGCTTGCTGACACCGCTTTCGGACGATGCGCTGGCACGCTTGTGCGCAGGAGTGGGGAAATCATGCAGATTTTTTCGCGCGCGAAGGTCCTTTGATGAAGTAAGGAGCGTTCCCATGACACGCCGAAGAAGTCACAGTAGCTCCGAACATATCGATTTTTGATCGCTTCCCGAATGCCTGGAGGGCTCCAGGCACTCAGGAAATCGATCGTCGAATTTCGAATCTAGATCCATTGCCTGTCTCTCTCGATCGGGTAGCTACTGAAACCTCGAGCCTCAAACGTGGAACCAAGATCGTCGGGTCAGCTTGATGTATTTCGTAGGAAAACGCCGTTTGGTCGTTGTTGGTGCTCTTTTGTGCCGTCCTGGGGCACTCTTGGGCCGTCCTGGGGGCTTCTTGGGCCGCCTTGGGGAGCTGGGGCCCTCCAGAGGCCTTCTGGAGCCATCTAGGGCCCTCTTGCGGGCCTCCAGTGGCGTTCTTTGAGGTATCCCATGGCTTTCGTGGGTCTCTCTTGGGAGCCTTCTGGGGGCATCTTGGGCTTCTTGTGGGCAGTCTCGGGGCTCTCTGGGGCAGTCTTGGGGCCCCCTTGGGCCGCCTTCAACCCCTCTAGGGGGCCTCCCGGGCCGTCTTGGGGCGAGATTTGGGGCCCATTGGGCCGTCTTGGACGCTGCGAAGACCCAAAAAGCGGATATGCACAACAAATGCACTTCCTGAGGAAATGTGACGATTTTGGCTTCTTCGGGGCTCTCTTAACGGCCTCTTGGGGTGTCTTGGGGGCCTCTTGGGCCGCCTTCAGACCATCGAGGTTCCTCTTGGAGCGCTCTTGCGCTGTCTTGGGTCTCTCTTGCGCCTCTCCGACGACCCCTCTAATCGCCTTCAGTCGGCTCGCAAGGCCCAGCGAGGCGCCCTGGGAGGCCCAGAAGGGCCACCGAACCTTTTCCAAGGGCGTTCAGGGGGCCGCCGAAACGTCCGAAAGGGCGTCCGGAGCGTCCCTGGGGGAAGGATCCGGTTTAGGGGGGTCCAGGGGGGGGGTTCTGGGTAATACAAATATAAGAATAGGAATATTCCTCTTCCCATATTTTTCCCAACCCTCCTTGGCTGGCTATTCGTTTTGAATAGAGGGGTGTGGTCGCGTCCTTCTCCCGCCCCCCCTGTGGTCGCTGTCCCTGGAAGGCTGCGGGGGTTGCGATCTACTAAACTGTCGCCACTTTCGAGGGCTGCTTGTGGGTCCTGCGGAGTGAGGCACCGCGCGGATCTGAGCGGGACCTCCCCGTCCCTGGGGGGGCTGCGATCTGCGACATTGTCGCCACTTTCGAAGGCTGCTGGTGGGTCCTGCGGAGTGAGGCACCGCGCAGATCTGAGCGGGACCTCCCCGTCCCTGGGGGGCTGCTTTCGAAGGCTGCAGGTGGGTCCTGCAGAGTGAGGCGCCGCGCGGATCTGAGCGGTTCCTCGCCGTCCCTGGGGGGGCTGCGATCTGCGAAGTTGTCGCCACTTTCGAGGGCTGCTGGTGGGCCCAGCGGAGTGAGGCACCGCGCAGATCTGAGCGGGACCTCGCCGTGCCTGGGTGGGCTGCGATCTGCGAAATTGTCGCCACTTTCGAGGGCTGCTGGTGGGTCCAGCAGAGTGATGCACCGCGCGGATCTGAGCGGAACCTCGCCGTCCTTTGGGGGGGCTGCGATCTGCGAAACTGTCGCCACTTTCGAGGGCTGCTGGTGGGTCCTGCGGAGTGAGGCACCGCGCGGATCTGAGCGGGACCTCGCCGTCCCTGGGGGGCTGCGATCTGCGAAATTGTCGCCACTTTCGAAGGCTGCTGGTGGGTCCTGCGGAGTGAGGCACCGCGCAGATCTGAGCGGTTCCTCGCCGTCCTTTGGGGGGGGTGCGATCTGCGAAATTGTCGCCACTTTCGAGGGCTGCTGGTGGGTCCTGCGGAGTGAGGCACCGCGCGGATCTGAGCGGGACCTCCCCGTCCCTGGGGGGGCTGCGATCTGCGACATTGTCGCCACTTTCGAGGGCTGCTGGTGGGTCCTGCGGAGTGAGGCACCGCGCGGATCTGAGCGGGACCTCCCCGTCCCTGGGGGGGCTGCGATCTGCTAAATTGTCGCCACTTTGCTGGTGGGTCCTGCGGAGTGAGGCACCGCGCGGATCTGAGCGGGACCTCGCCGTCCTTGGGGGGC